GAAAGAGAAGCTCGCCTGGGAAAGCGTAGAGAAGCATGGAAAAAGACTGCTGAAGCGAAAGGTAAGCAAAGGCTTGTCTTCACAACGCTATGTACCAATGATACTGTAGCTATATATACAAGTTGAAGTATGATATTCGACCCTCTATATTCGACTATTTCTTCACAATTTTCCAATAAAGAGTTTGTCATGACACGCTCAAGTCAGTATAACCAGACTGTATTTTATTTATATCAGTTATCACAGCCACAGGCAATTTTATGCTGTCAAATACCGTCGGTTGCAACTAAGGGTGAACAGTTGCAGATAAAACATTCTCTATTCTCATTAAAAGGCCTGTAAAAGTTTCCAGTAAGTCTCTAGCCCAACACGTTCAGACCACACAAAGTTTTGTTACTTATTATTGTCCACTGTACACATGGGAAACAACAATTAAGTGTTGTTGTTCTTGACAAACATTGAAGATTCTAATCACGCGAATGTTTTTATGAGCAACTGTTCATCGTTAGTTGCAAGCGACGGTACAAACATTTTTCCGACTGTGACCGAATGTGCAACGATATATTTTTCAAAGTTGTTGTCAATTCCTAAAATTTGTTTATAGTAAAACGGCCTGCTCAGCACTCACTACTCACGATGATTTCATTTAGAAATGCAGTTACCAGGAAAGGAACTGATTCTAAAATATGTAAATTTAAAAGCATTGGCTAACAGAATAAAGCGATGTGAAGACAAGGTACAAACTTTTATAGTTGCTATTTGTTATAAAATCCTATAAATAAACCGATTCAACAATAATATTGCCTCGAATTTGCATATTCTATGCCGCATGTTTATATTTTATTTTTATAGTATAAAAATAAAATTGTAATACTATGAAATAAAATACATTTCTATTTATTGACCAGTACTTATTTAATGTCTTCTTCATCCAGTGGTCAGAGTAAATTTCTACTTCTAGCAAGTAAATATTTGACAAGCAGTCTGGAATAAGCACAGGAATAAGCACAATGAGCCATTTTATAGTAGCAATATGAAAAGTTTTTTTCTTTTTCCATGACTTTTAATGCATCAGCCAAATCCAAGTGTGGCCATCCCCCTCGCCCAGCCATTTTCCTCGCCCAGCCATGAACCTTAGCCCCGGCGGGGCATTTGAAATTAATAATTTCGATTCTTGCACTTCACTTGGTGGAATTAATATTAGAATGTTAGGGTTTGTAATCCAAGTGAGAATATATACATGTATATATTTTGTAATCCAAGTGAGAATATTTTGTAATCCAAGTGAGAATATACAAATGTATAGTACATGTATATATTTTGTGTATATATTTTGTAATCCAAATGAGAATAGTTTGTAATCCAAGTGAGAATATACAAATGTATATATTCTCACTTGGATTACAAACCCTAACATTCTAATATTAATTCCACCAAGTGAAGTGCAAGAATCCAAATTATTGAAGTCCACCTTATCACAACCCGCACACCCGATAACCTAAATATACATGAACTTACGGTTCAAGCTCAACAGCTGGCCTCTGTAGCTCAGTTGGTTAGAGCGCTGCACCGGAATTGCAGGGCCGTAGGTTCAATTCCTACCAGAGGACCTTGTGCTGCATTTTTCGCAGTCGTTCCTGGTTAGGTCTTAAAATGTATATATTCTCACTTGGATTACAAACCCTAACATTCTAATATTAATTCCACCAAGTGAAGTGCAAGAATCCAAATTATTGAAGTCCACCTTATCACAACCCGCACACCCGATTACCTAAATATAGATGAACTTACGGTTAAAGCTCTACAGCTGGCCTCTGTAGCTCAGTTGGTTAGAGCGCTGCACCGGAATCGCAGGGCCGTAGGTTCAATTCCTACCAGAGGACCTTGTGCTGCATTTTTCGCAGTCGTTCCTTGTTAGGTCTTAAAATGTATATATATTCTCACTTGGATTACAAACCCTAACATTCTAATATTAATTCCACCAAGTGAAGTGCAAGAATCCAAATTATTGAAGTCCACCTTATCACAACCCGCACACCCGATTACCTAAATATACATGAACTTACGGTTAAAGCTCAGCAGCTGGCCTCTGTAGCTCAGTTGGTTAGAGCGCTGCACCGGAATCGCAGGGCCGTAGGTTCAATTCCTACCAGAGGACCTTGTGCTGCATTTTTCGCAGTCGATCCTGGTTAGGTCTTAAAATGTATATTTTCTCACTTGGATTACAAACCTTAACATTCTAATATTAAGTCCACCAAGTGAAGTGCAAGAATCCAAATTATTGAAGTCCACCTTATCATAACCCGCACACCCGATTACTTAAATATACATGAACTTACGGTTAAAGCTCAACAGCTGGCCTCTGTAGCTCAGTTGGTTAGAGCGCTGCACCGGAATCGCTGGCCCGTAGGTTCAATTCCTACCAGAGGACCTTGTGCTGCATTTTTCGCAGTCGTTCCTGGTTGGGTCTTAAAATGTATATAGTCTCACTTAAAATGTATATATTACAAACCCTAACATTCTAACATTTGAAATTAAGGATTTGAAGGTTTTGCGATCACCGACAACTTGATAATTTTATAAAACAAAACACTTCTATCTCCAACTTTTACAATCACTGATAAATTAATTGATAATAAGTTAAACCAGTCTAGCTGTAGTTTAAATAGAGAATAATACATGGGTGCATGAAATACCAGATTTATTTCGAGTGTTGAACATGAGTGTGCAGCGAACAAGTGAGCGCAGCGAACGAGTGAGATGTCATGTTCAACACAAAAAATAAATCTGGTATTTCCAACCACCCATGTATTTTTCTGTTTATTATATAAAGGACAGTCTTAAATGAAAAGCGATAATGTTTACAGAAAAGCGATAATTGAAAAGGCGATACATTTTTACATGTGAGATTATCATGAATAATTTCACATCTGAGATTATCATTTTTGTCAGTGCTCGAAAACTCTGTAAAACACTATACTTTATATAATAAAAATTCATAAATTTGAACAATGCTAGAGCATGACAACAGCAAAATGCTCTATAGTATGATGCACAATATTTTGGGAGGTAATCGAAATACACGAACAATAAGTCAGAGAGTGTTTGCTTGGAACTCACTGGGGGGGGGGCAACACCCCTGATTATTGCTCATGATGAATTTCAGGTAGATTTCCAGTGCACTTTTAGTACGTACATTTAAGTAGATTTGCAGAAAATTTTCAGGGGAATTCAGGTAATTCTCAGGACATGACTGAGAAAGTGAATTTGGAAAACAACTGTATTTTTGGAAAAATTATTATATGTCCTGAAAATTTTTTGTACATCTGGAAACTTTTTGGTAACCCCCCCCCCTCTATCTAACCACACACACCCCCTGCGACGAAGTGCTCGCAGCGGCACTGAGTATATATCTTTTGAAAACAGGCGAGGGGTTATTGCATGCATGTATTTCTAGTATATGATTATTGTAGCTGTTAAGTTATTTTCCATGCTGATGAATTTAGGTAAGATTGTCTTGCAAGTGGGTTGTTCTGACAAAATTATCCAGCCAATATCCAGTAGATCAGTACACTGAAGCCAAAATATGGCAAAGAATAACACGAGTACACGACTTACACGAGGCCAAACTACGCCCGTTCGCAGGTTAGGTGCCAGCACAATGTAAACAATTAATGTAAGCTAATCGGTGATTGGCTTAATTATACAAGTTCGTCGCTGAATGGCTATGGGTATAAACGTTAATACTAATGTGCTTCGCAGATACAAAAATAAAGATATACACCGGCACTGTATTGATATATGTTCATACCTGGAAGTTTTTTTCATTATAAAAGTGTATTTTCCCAACTTAGATTGGGTGGGTGGGTCGTGAAATAAATTTGGTGAAATAAGATTGGATGGGCTTTGAAATTTTTATCTACATCCTAAGATGGGTAACCAAACTTATTGGCAAAATTTGTGATTTACCTCCAGCCCACCCTAGCAGTTACTGGTCTATATATGTATATGAACTTGAATTACAGGAGCAAAACGCTTGAAAATATGAAAATTGCTAATACAAAACCATGTGCTTGACAGTCGACACGATATATACCATTACAATTTCACACTCAAAACGTCCAGATTTCATTGTTCCGATCTAATGCAACGTAACCAAACGTTCCAATATTAAACGTAAAGAAATGTGTTAAAGTTATCAAGTTTTACGGTTGAATGAGAATAATATAAATATTCATATATAAACTCAATACCTCTACATCGCTGTCTTCGTCCATTTCGACTATGGCTTGGAGGGAATTTGTAAAATATCCCTAATTCACCCCCAGTCTGCATTTTATCCTCAGTCTGCATTTTATACCCCCAGTCTGCATTTTGTACCCAGTCCGGTCTGCAGTCCGCAGATTATACTAACCGGTTACTTTATGATCAGTCCCTTGGCTGAAGGCTCGATCAGTCGATCACAATGCCAATTTCTATTAAATGCATACTGTAAACAAAAGCCCAAGTAAATAAAAGTTCACAGCCGTAAAGTTTGAAATATTTATTACAACAGTGCAATTTCATAGTTTGTACCTTTATATAGTTATAGCTTACAAATCTAGTTCCTGCAAGTCTAGTTCTTCAACGCTTCGGTTGTTGACATGTTAAGTATGTTAATATTGGAATTTCCATGGACTTTAAATAAGGCATATGTCATATATACCAAGAATAACAGCATGAATTCACGCCCAGATGACAGAAGAATATTAACATTAGTCAATTCAACAAAAACAAGTAGCAAAAAATCGTAAACGACAACGAAATATCACAACTTGGAAGAAATCGCACAAAGTGCAAGAAATCGACCAAGAACTGCCAGGCGTCTCGCATTTCAAGTGCACTCTCCCATCAGCCCCTTCGCCATCTCTCCCCACTACAATACTTCATGTAAACTCGTCATATGCGTACCACTGTTTTTTTACAAAGAGATGCCTGGGTACGAGCCGGCAGCAGGGTTTATCACATGGGGTTAAGTCCAGCGATCGAGGTGGCCATTCCACGTCATGGTGGCAAGCTATCACACGATTCTCTCCGAACACTTCGTTAATTAAGGCGATCCCTCACTTCAATAAGGCGATGTGCTGGAGCGGCGCCTGTGCCCAACAAAGACCCCTAAACATTCCTTCCCAATACTGGTTGTTGAAATGAATGGCAAGTTGTGGGAAAGCAAATTCATTCAGCATTTGAAGATATGCAAGGCCGTCCACATTTTGGTAAAAAAAGTAAGGTCCCAAAATCACGCCATTCCCCCAAAGTGCTACCCAGACAGTGAGCTTTTCACGGGAATTCGAGAGTTCAAAGTTAAAGACCGATAGGGGCCCCTTCGGTGCACATATATATATACATATATATATATATATATAATATAATTATATATATATATTATATATATATATATATATATATATATATATATATATATATATATATATATATATATATATATATATACAGCTAATTCAATAAAGGTTGTCCTTTGAAACCTTAAACTCTAAAACCTTAAACCTTAAACTCTAAGCGTGCAAAGCATAATGGGAGCAAAATTTAAGCAGTTTAGAAAGCATATATGGAGCCCATTTTTTGGAGACATGATAAAAATCTCCCTGCAAAAACATTTCACTGACAAACAGCTTCAATAATCAACAATTAAGCTTGAAATCAGTGCTCCCATCATGCTTTGCGCGCTTAGAGTTTAAGGTTTAAGGTTTTAAGGTTTAAGGTTTGCAAAGGACAACCTTTATTGAATTAGCAGTATATATATATATATATATATATATATATATATATATATATATATATATATATATATATATATATATATATATATATATATATATATATATAGCGGTTTTTTGAGTTGTTTTCAGACGAGTGTATACCAAACCGGGCAAGCAGAAAATTCTACTTGACCGCGGCTGGGATTCGAACCCGCGATCTTCGCATTTATATATATATATATATATATTATATATATATATATATATATATATATATATATATATATATATATATATATATATATATATATATATATATATATTATTATTATTATTATTATTATTAAAAATTTTATTTCAATACGGTGGTTACATCAAAATCATATACAGTTTTGTTCTACCTGTAAGCCGTATATTATAGTTTGAAATATATATTAATTTAATTAATTAATGATCAGCGGAAAAATGGATATTTTTTAAAAGATCTTTGAACCGCTTTAATGAACTCTCTTTTTTCAAAACTTCAGGAAGAGAGTTCCACACTTTTGCGCCGGAGTAAACAAAACTTCTCTTGTAATATTCAGTTCGAATTAGGCTAGTGGAAGTTCGACATTCTCTGTTGAAGAACGAAGATCATAAAAATTGGCACCAGTTTCTGGTCTAAATAAACCTAAGAAACATGACGGTGCTTTATGGTTTAATATTTTATGCATCATCACTGCTTTGCATTTTTGTCTTCGTTCACTCAACTTCTCCCATCCTAATTCGTTTAATATATCCCTGGACCTTCGCGAATAGTCGGCTCCAGTAATAATACGTGCTGCACGATTTTGAAGTTTTTGAAGCTTTAACGCCAAATAGTCACTGATGCCATCCCAAATTATACAACAGTAATCAAAATAAGGTTCTACAATAGCTCTATATACATTCATAAGATCGCACTTTTTCAAGACTTTTCTATTTCTACGTAGAAGACTAACGCCGATCGCTAATTTTTTAATTACATTATCTATGTGCTCATCCCATGTGAGAAATTCGTCTATTGTCACTCCTAAGCACTTAGTACTCTTAACTTTACGTAGAGATATATCATTAAGGGAAAGTGTCAGATCACCCACAAGTGAATTTATTCTTTGTTTTGAACCAACAACCATATATTCAGTTTTCACTGTATTTAAAGTAAGTTTGTTGGCTATAAACCAGGATTCTAAATGTTCCAGGTCTTTTTTCATCTGCCGTTGAAGTTCAGAAAAAACACATGCTGAGAATGATACGTTAGTATCATCTGCATACATTCGGGCAGTACCATGATTAACAGAAGTCGTCAAATCATTTATATAAATAAGAAATAATAAAGGACATAGAACTGAAACTTGGGGAACTCCACTTTTGACCTGCACTTTACCAGATAAATAACCATTAACATAACATTGTCGAGTTCTATCAGTAAAATATGATTTAAACCAATGTAATGTTTTATCACAGATTCCAAGAAAACTTAATTTGGTTAATAATGTATTATGATCAACAGTGTCAAAAGCTTTTTTTAAATCTAAAAATAATACACCATTGATCATACCTCTATCAATATTATAATACCACTGGTTAGTTAAATTCAGTAATGCAGTTATAGTTGAATGCAGTGACCTAAAACCGAATTGCCTTGAATTAATTAGATCAAATTTCATTAGATATGCATTATAT